CTTAGTGTTGATCTTATATTCATCTTTTTTAATTAGGTTCTTATTTGTTTTCTTCTTGAAACTTTTTCATTCAGCTTCTTATTTGGTTTCTTGAATAGTGTATCTTTAATAGAAGAAATACTTAGCAATAACTTTAAAGGAGGAGGGTGTGGGAGGTATGGTGTTATGTAGTAATATAGCCATTAGGTAAAAATAATAATAATAATAATAATTTATTATAATAGAGCTTAAATGAAATTATTTTGATGAGTTATCTTAGAAATGTAGATAATAGACAAGGAGGTAGTAAAAATTAATATGTATTAATGCTACCTACATTTAGAAGAGACTTTTACTTACTTTATAAGAGCATAAATGAGCCAAATCAAAGTTAATGAAATTAATATTTAATATAGGCATCTTTAAAAAAGAATTAAAAGTAGGTTTTAATAAAAATTACTTTAATATACTAAAAATTGATACGTAAAGAGGACTAATTGTAAACCAAGGTCAAAATTAGATCATGAGGCACAAAATCATGGACCTATGATAACTCCAAGATTCTTTGGTTAATCAAAGAGTAGGATTTAAAAGCAAATTTATGAAAGGATTTATAAAAGTTTATTTCATATAATTTGATGGTATATTGAGGTTTTGAGAGCTTTTCAAAGAAAGAGGTGTATTAAGTGGATTTGGATTTTAAGAAATAAAAAGAAGTTTACAGATTTAATGATTTTGTAAATATCATAGAATATTTTTAAGTCAAACTTTGTCAGTTTGTCAATATATTTTTTATAAATGTGTGTAAATTTTTTTATTTCAATCAAGCAATTAGATTGAAAGTTATGAGAGATTTTGTTAGTGATAGTCTTAGATAATTGAAATTTAGAATTAGTAAGGATTTTTATAATTTTGCATATCCACCAATTCAATTGAGGCAAAAATTAATAAATGTAATTTAGACATAAATATCTACACATCTCCCAATTTTTGAAATAAATGAATAGTTTAGTAAAGAAAAATCTCTACTGGAAGATTAATATTTAAGCTAGAAAAGGAAGACAGCCAACATCTGAGATATTTTGGAAGTTTTTCTTTTAATTGATAAATTTGATTCTTCATCAAATTTTGTGTGAATATAAATTATTTGTGGATTAAATTCTAAGTAAAATTTTAGTTAAGATAAATAATTCAATTTATATTTATCAAGGTTTCAAAATAATTATAATAATTGATTAAGTTTTATTTAATATTTTTTGTAATTATTTAGAATTAATTTAAGATTTGATTAGGATTTAAGATTTAATTAGGATTTCATTAGGGTTTCATTTGAATTTGATCCAAGATTAAAATTTGTTAGAGTTTGATTAGAATTACATTAGAATTTGATTAGAATTTGATTAAGATTCAATTAATATTTCTATTTTTAATATTTAAAAAAAAATCGTTGTTATTTTTTTAAGATTTCTTTGCTATATATATATATATATATATATATATATATATATAAGATTATTTTATGATTTCTTTATATTTTTTTAAATTTCTTTGAAACTTCTTGTCAAATTTAATCAAAGATTGATTAATATTGTTATAATTTAATTGAAGTTTGTTTAGGATTCTATTGGAGTTATTAGAATCTTCTTGTTGTCAATTCTATATTATCTTCTACAATCATGTGCTTAATGCATTCTCAAGCAAATTTCACAAAATACAATGGATTTAGACAACATTTTCCTAAGAATTGCAATTTTCTTGTACAATTATTCAATGCAATACAATATCAAGGAGCATCGCCAACAAACCATCCACTTGCAGCTTATTAATATCAACCTTAGCCTCAAGCATGAATTTTTAGAAGTAATATAACTATTTGTTGTTATAATTGTAGTAGATTTGGTCACATTGCTTGTGAATATCATAACATTAGGCAGTATCTTGTCTTGATTAATTATATCAAAGGCTTATTTAAACTGGTCAAGAAGATCACACATCTACGGCTATTCAAAATAAACTGCACTATAATTGAACCATAAGTTATATAGATGTTTCTATTAGATATATTTCTTTTACAATTTATTTTGATACTTTATCATTGTAAGAAAATAATTTGTTATTGTATCAATAATACAACAATAAATACAAATAATAACAATAATAATAATACTTGTATATATATGTAATTTATATCTTCACTACGAGGTGGCAAAAGAGAAGAATAGCATTTGAAAACATGAAATAGATCAACAATTAAATATTGAACCAATGTGTTTGTCCACATCTCTTATTTGTTGTGCCATTGAAGTTAAAGATGTTTTTCATTAATAACAATATTTGCTTGCTTAGTGATAGCAACAAAGGGATAGACTTATTCACACTACATTTCACAACACCCTTAACCAAAACTGTCTCTAAAATATTGAAAATGTCTCCAATGGCTTCAACATTGATGCTCTCTTATTGACACTTCTTTTTTTTCTTTTTTCTTTTTTCTTTTTTTTATCACTTATTCACACAACAATGCCCACTATTGTGTTGTTGTTACTTGAATGAAGTCCTTCGAGTGACAGATAAGATAGTGAGTACACGTCAGAAAGATTAAAAAAGGCAAAGGGAGAAGCACTGTTGTGGAGTTGTCTTTTGACCGTTGACCTTGAAGACGAAGTCAACGGAAGCTAGAAAAACGTGTGCGGACAGTGCCGAAGAAGTGTGTGCATCACACCTACTGAATCCCCGCTAGTGCTTCGTTCAGTGACAGCGGTAAACAAACAGAAACCTCAGCGATGGACACAGCCCAGCGCCGGCATCGCAAAGACACATACCCACACACACTTACACACCCACACGCTATTGTTGTGGTTGTTGCCTCACTTGTCCGTTTTGCGCGTCACCCCACATCGATGTGGAAGCGGATGATGCTGCAGGAGACCAGAAAGCGGCAAACCCATGGAAAAAATCAAAGCCACACATACCTCGCCCCCGCTTTCGGAGATCCGTCTCAGTGAAAGGAACGGGAACTCCCTTTCGGGGCCACAAGAGTAAAAACCCACAACAAACAAACTGGCAATAGCAGGGCGCGGCGTGGCTTTTTGGAAAAGCTGGGTCGCTGAAATGGCTTTATGCTTTATGTTCCTCACTTCTGACACTGCCTGCTGATTGAGACTCTCGAGCGAGGACGGTTTCGAGTCCATCGAAGGGTGGCTCACACACACACACACTCCCAATGCTTGGCTACACAGCAAGCCACAGAGAGAGACCTTGCTGTGACCCCACCGTGGCCCAGAATCGGATTCAGCGATGTGGGTTTTTCTCCTTTGCTCGCTTTCGTCAACTGATCACACTATGCTGCACAAATTCGCAGTCATCGGATTGCGATTTCGGGATACGATTGCCTCTCCAGAAGCTTGGCCTTCGCCGAACGCACCAGATCAGGCACCACCATTTGAACGAAACCCAGTTGGAGGACCCTACCCGATGAACGTTGCGCTTTTATGTGATTTCTCATCCATTCATTTCATCCGTTTTTATTAATAATGGAATTAGATCTTCGTTGAAATTTGTTAGGATGAAGAATGCGTGGTTAATTAAGTTGGGTAAGGTTGTGATCACTTTTTTATATCATGGTAAAGTTAACGATGGCATTGACATAGTTTGTCATGATTCCATTGTTCATTAATTTGAAAAATCTTTCAATTCTGTTTTCGTGAATAAATATATATGTTAAAGCTATATATATATATATATATATATAGATATATGTATATATTAAGAGAGCCGTTAATAGTCTAACATGTATGTAATTGTTTTTCATTGCATTCAAATCTTCTAAATTTTGATGTAAAACAAGAAATGCTTAATATTGATGTAAAATAAGTTTCTTTAATTTTGTATGGATTCAATAATCCCAAAAACATTTGTGAAATTTTAATGTAAAAGAAATAATATGCTTTTCCCCATAAAAAGTAATTAACTTGCATACATGGCTGGCTCGTTTTATTAAGTTATTACTTATTTATAATTATTTTTAGTTATTTTGCTTCCTCGCGCCGTCTTTGAGGTACTATACAATTTTTAAGATGTCCTGTGACATCATCGACTTTTTTTTTTTTCTTTCTTTCTTTCTTTTTTTAAAGGTTCAGAAAGTCTTCACAAGGTCACTATTTGCTTATTTGAAAAAAACGGACCTTTTAGCCTACTTTGTTCACCAAAAAGGTAATGTCTTAAATCTAGGCCTAAGGCTCCATACGTGCCACAAATTGACTATCTGTATTTTTGTCTTGGTTCAAACTGATTTTTATTTTTAGTTTTATTCAAAAATTATAATATGAAATTGTCTAGTAAAAAAACAGTATCTATACAACATACAATCAAAGTCCAAAAGCCAAAACCCAAGTAAAACTATTTCTCTACCATATTCAAAACCTCAAATATTAATCATAATAAATGATTTACATGTTAACAAGAAAAAATAAAATAAAATAATATAAAGACGAAAAAGTGAAAGATAAAAAGAAATAGGGTATTCCCGTGTCGAAGGGCTGCGTCAACTGCCATGTCCGTGGACTGGAAGCATCAAAGCAGGTTCTAGAACACGACGAAGGCGACGAAGGAAACGACGACGACAACGAAGTAATTAATGACGAAGTCCACGACGAAGACGACGAAGGCGTCGCGTACAACGACGACGACGACCACGACAAATACGAAGACAACGACGACGAAGGCGACGAATACCGCGACTAGGAGGACAATGACGACGAAGGCAACGACGTCATCGACGACGGAGACCTCAACGACGACGAAGTAGGTGAAGTGGACGACGATTTGTTGTTTCCCGTTCGCGGCAGCTCCGCCACGACGCCGACGAGTCTTCTTCTTCTCTGGCGGTGTTTTTAGTTGGGTGACGAAGGCGCGGCACCAGCTCCGCAAGGAAGGAAGCAAGGATTCCGGAATCCCATGGCCTCGGGGGAAGGGGGGAAGAAGGGGCCCTGTTCGAGAGAGAGAGAGAGAGAGAGAGAGAGAGCGCGCGAGAGGAGGATGGAATAGATCGATCGATTGATCGATTAATTACACAAGAGTCAAACCTCCTCACCCATGATCCCGCGGCAGCCAGCATCACGGGGACTCACAATTGTTACTGCTGACTTCTCGCTCAAGTTGTTGCCACGCTGCGTTGCACAGTGTTTCAACCCCCCTCTCTCCCTTTCCCCGTTCCTACGATGATGCCAGGGTTCGCGTTTCCTCTTGTGTTGCAGTCTTGTTCGTTTCGTTATTTGATTTCGAATTCGATGTATCGGCGATGCGGCGTGGCTTTCTAGTGGACATCAATTCCCGTGTCGCGCTACAGAAGGCGTTGGAAAGAAGTTGGCTCAACTTATGTGTGTGTGTCCAGGATCTGAATCCTAGTTTTAGACATCGCAGAATTCTTTCATGTTTTCCTTGTCGAAGTGGTGATTCTGACTTCGAGTTGTCTGGAACTATTTATTTTTTCCTACGCCTGGATCAGACGATCTAGGATCGTTGTTGTGGAGAGATTAGGAAACGTTGTTCCGGAATTGTAGCCACGAGAGCTGCTAAAGATGGGGGGCGGCATTGAGATGTTACCCCCTTGTATCTTGCAAGACATACTCTACAATGGACGATTAGGGCCAGTTGATCTGGCTAGCTTGGAAGCGTCCTCGTACATGTTTCGTGCGGCGAGTGGGATTGCGCCTTACAGGTTTAAGTCCATCGCGGAATTAGCGGCTCATCATTCGTGTCAGATGCACCCCGTGTTTGAGAATTTCCCTCCGCGAGCGCGATTGGAGCTTTTGGCGAGGTGCGAAGGGAATTGGAAACTGGTGTTGCACTTCTTGAACTCTCTGCAGCGTTCATCGGGGCTTTCTGTCGGTGGTTCTGGCCGCGATGTAAGTACCGCTCCGATGCAAGTGGGAATACTTGTTTTGCAATTCGAGCCGTGATTCGTTCTCATTTACATTCCAACTTTTTTCTTCCCTTGAAACGGTTTTGTGCTTTGAAATGGGTGCAGGTTCTCGTGGCCGCGGGGAGGTACCACACGCTGCTTGTAGATAGGAAAGGGGAATTGTATGCGTGTGGAACTGGAGGGTCCGTTCTCGGACAGAATCCTGCAGTCTCGAATCTTCAAAGACCAGCGTCAATTCCGTTGCCTGCGGCTGCTACACGCATCGTGCAGATCTCTGCGAATTTCAATCACGCTGCTTTCGTCACCGAAAGCGGACAGGTGATAAAAAAGAAAAAAAGAAAAAAAGAAAAAAAAAACGATACTCCATTTCAATCCAGCCACGAAATTCTGGAAATTATTGTTCAGAGGTCTGGTGTGCTCACTCATGGACATCCTTGGTCTTCGTGCAGGTATACACATTCGGTGACAACGTATCCTGTTGCTGTGGCGTTGGAGAAAGTGGACAGCCAATTTCGAAACCCACGCTGGTAACAACTCTCGAGCGAAATCCATGCCAACAAGTTTCGACAGGGCAAGGGTACACTGTAGCACTCACACGCAACGGCGAGCTTTTCTCCTGGGGTTGTAACTCACACGGGCAACTGGGACAAGGCAACACTCAGGAGCAATTCAGACCACGACAGATCGAGGAGTTCAACGAGTCGAATCCAGTAGCGCAAGTTTCCGCAGGCATTTGTCACACTCTGGCTGTGACGAAGTCCGGGCAGCTGTTCTCTTGGGGTTATGGTTCCAATTACTGCCTCGGCCACGACGATTTCCTCACCGAATTGCGGCCCAAACGAGTGGAGCATGGCGGATTCGATGACCTTTTCATCATTTCGGCAGCAGCCGGAGACGAACATTCGGCGGCTATCGACTCTTTAGGATATGTACGCACTCATCCCACACGTCTAATTCACAACCGTTTTTTGTTTTTGTTTTTTGTTTTTTGTTTTTCTCACACCGTGAACTCTCCCGTACCTTATCAAGAGTTCCCATTATCCTCTATACCACACCAAATTGTGTAGGTGACACTTTGATTGCAATCACGGTACAGGTCTACACATGGGGGAAGGGATACTGTGGAGCTCTAGGTCACGGAGCTGGGACAGATCAACGCACACCGCTTGTGGTTGCAGCATTAAAGAGTACCCGTGCTGTCCAGGTACAACAACAACAACTTCTTCCTATATATATATATATATAAACAGTGAATCACTGACTGCTTTAATTGATGATGATGCTGATCCTTCAGGTTGTCGCGAGAAGGAGAAAAACTTTTGTGCTGGGCGACAACGGAACGGTGCATTCCTTCGGGTGGATGGCATATCACAGCCTCGGCGTGCAAGGAAAGTCCGCATCGGACACGGTGGTGAGCCCCCAGTCTCTCGACTTAGCCCTCCATGGCCACAAAGTGTCCACCATAGCTGCAGGAATGTACCACACTCTTGTGATCACCAGGAAAGGAGCTATTTTTGGGTTCGGAGACAACGATTCTAGTCAATTAGGGCCAGTTAGTGTCACCAACGAGACTCCTCTCGCTGTGAGAATACCTGCCGAGGTGTTCTCTTGTGTCACTGGAGTTGTACAAGATTAGAAATTATACCACTTCAGTTCTTCATCTTCACCATATCTGAGACATTTCTGTGCAAAGATTCATTAGAAGAACGAGAGAGAGAGATTGATAAAAGGCTTAGTTAGTGTAGGAATGAAGCAGCGAAAGTGCATCACTTGGCGGAGCATTACGAAATCTGAATAATATGTTTGTCTTCAAATCTGCTTTTTGCTTGCTTTTTTGGCTTGATTTCTTGTGACAATGCTCGTGGTGATTATTAAGTTAGTCGTTTTGCATGTTGAAGACACTGAAAGTTTGTGAATGTCATTGTGAAAGTTGTGTTTTTGCTTTGATTTCATTTGTGGATTAGATGTCTTGCTTAGTTGGTAGATTATTTGTCTAAATTCGTTGTTCACATGATGTTCTTTGGCGGTTGGAAATTCTGGGTTTGTTGATCAAGGCACATGTGTAAAGATCTATTTATTTATTTTATTGAAGAGGTGTAGTAGTGAATTTTGAATATGGATTTTCTTTCTTTTTAATTAGAACATTTATTGTAAGGGTTTTAACAAAATAATTTTTTAAGTATTAGAAGTTTATTATACAATAGATTTTAAATAGATCTAAATATTGGTTGTGTACCTCTTTAATGATTGATTGTGCAATTGCAAATTCAATGTTGAAACCTTTCTCAACTTTTAATGCAACAGAATATAATTGCTTATTTCTTTTTAAAAGGAAGACCTTCTATTTTCTAATTTCTTGCTAGCTTTTTAATTATATTTTTGATCTAATATTATTCTTGATTTGTCTAAGCAGTTGTTGATCTTATGCCAAAATTGTTTATAATAGAGATTGATTTATAAATTGATTATAACAGAGATTTACCTACGTCAGTATTTATTTATAGTTTTTGTATCAATAACTTAATTCTGGTAAGATTAATTTTCATATATTTCATTTCAGTCAATAGAATTTGAATGATTGTTCAATTTTCATCAAATTAAGATTTATAAATATGTTGTAAGTTCTTTTAAATAAAATCTCTAAAAAAAGATTAGTTAATTTAAAGAAAAAAAATCATGAAGTTGATCTAAAGTCTTAAAAGTAGATAGAATAGAATTCATATTTAATTGTGGATAATAATAATATTAATAAGATCAAGAATAATCTAATTTTTAAAATTTTGATACTAATCAAAGCAATATAATTTATGTTGCCACAAAACTACAACAAGAAGATTTTTGAATAAATTGAATATTGGCATCCTTTGATCAATTGTTTTGTTTTTTTCTTTTTTCTTTTTATTTTTTCTTTTCTTTCTCAAATTAACATTTTAAGCACTATGTGTCAGGGACAAGAACTTGATGAAAGTAAATGAAGAAGTATAACAAAAATGAAAATAAAGAAGTATATATATTAAAAAGAAACTGGAATAGCTATTGCCAAAAGACAATGAAATTATAGACTCTTGAATCTAGACTAGAAGCAAGAAAGGAGTTGAAAAGAGTGAAGAGGGCTTCACACTTGCATCTATATATATATATATATATATATATAATCTAACTAAGAGCTACATGGTGATATTCTATAGGATCCCTAATATGTGTTGACTTTGGAGGACACATGCTTTAGTTTACAAGGCAAGTTTTCTATGTGTGCCACATAGTTAGCTTGTTCTTCAAGCTACCAACATATATGGCACATGGCTAACTTGTTGACCACGTTTTTAATCTAAAAATTCAATTATAGAGACATATAAAGTCAAAATTGTTAAAGTAAAAGTAGAAAATATTACCTTGTATAGGATATTATCTTAGGTAAGTTATTAGTGGTCAAAGGTTTGACTCTTGATATATGGTAAGGGCATCCAATGGATATAGGACGAAGTCATGGATCAAGAGTTAAAGTCAAAAGGATAAAGTATTAAGAAGGGAATATCCCAAGACTAAGTATGAGTCATTAGTGTGTATCATAGGATACCTTCGTAGTTCGTGAGATGCTAAAGGATCCTAAGAGCATGTATGTTAGACGTAAGAGTAATTAGTATTGGACATAGGATACTCTTGGAACTCTTGAGATGCCAAAAGGATCCTAGGGCAATGTGTGTAAAAATCAAAGAGTGGACATTGTCTTTTAGGGCAGCAACTACGACCTATAAGTAATGTGTATTGGAAGTGAGAGACATCTTACTCCATACTCTCTTTGTGTGCAACCTTGCTGATGCTAAGTGTTGTGTCTTCTAAGTACTTATTTTCTTAATAGGTTATGAGCCCACTCACCTTTATTTGTGAGTTTTGAAGTACTTTGAAGTCTTTCTTGTTATAAGGAGTATATCTTATGGTTATTGCTGAAGTTTGAGTTTGTTATCTTCTAATCCTTCTTATGCATCTAGTTGTTGATATAATTTTACTCTTATTTATTGTTAAGTGCACTCATAGTCTTTGTTGATGTTAGACTCCATATAATGATGTTTTAGAACTCTAGTGTTATATTTCTTTGCTGAAATTTATCATTGATGTTCTAACTTTGTGGTTTCATGTACTTAACTTCTTAAGAGATTGTTCTATTTTCACAAGAAGTATTTTTTGTGAGGTTAGAAGTATTTTGTGAGAAAAGAGGGGTGATTGAAGAGTAGCAAAGCTTATACAAGAGGTTCAGATAGAGTGTAAGACTTGTGAGAAGTCTTATATGTGAAGTTGAGAGTGATACAAGAGTGAAATCACTTGTTTACTTACAAAGAGGGCATTCTGGGTTTCTAAGGCAGCAACACCTTCTTGTTGATTTTGAGAGTTCTATATCTTCTTTTTTTGATTTTCTTTCATAAATCCCTTCCTTAGACATGGCTTCAAGTGAGGGTGAGAGCTTGAGAGTAATTGAGAAGTTTAGGGGTGACAACTTTTACCATTGGAAGAAAAAAATGGAGCTTTTGTTGGCTTCATTGGACCTTTGGGACATTGTTGATGAAAGTGAAGACCTTCCAAGTGACAATACTGATATCAAAGTGAAGAAGGAGTACAAACGTCGTGAAAGGAAGGCTTTTGGGATGATTGCGACCAACCTTGATGATGCCAACTTTTCACATGTTATAGCTTGCAATGGACCAACAAAAGCATGGAGGATTCTTTGCAACATCTATGAGAGTAGAAACCTTGCCAACATCCTTTGGACAAGAAAGAAGTTCTTAACAGTAAAGATGGAAGAAGGAGATGACCTCATGACTCATATTAACAAGGTAAAAGCACTTGCTAACCAACTAGCAGTTGTTGACAAACCAGTTGATGATAAGGACATTGTATTGACATTGCTCATGAGCCTTCCCTAATCTTACAACTACCTCATTGTGGCATTGGAGTCCATCAACATGAAGGAGCTTACTATGAACTATGTCACATCAAGACTTGTCCATGAAGTAACCAAGAGAAAAGAAAAGGAGCTTGTAAGTGATGATTTGGCTCTATTTTTAAGACAAGGCAAAGGTAGCTATTCTCACCAACATGGTAATTCAAAAAGTAATGTGAAGCATTGCTATATTTGTGGGAAACCAGGTCATTTTGCTAGAAATTGCTACAAGGCCAAGAAAGGAGATAGAGAGAATGCAAACAATGCTAGTGATAGTTTTGGTGGAGATGAGTATGCTTTCATGGCAAAAGAAGGAGCCTCCATGGCTGCCATGTCAAAGTGGATTATAGATTTAGGTGCTACTAAGCACATGACACCATACAAGTATTTATTTGACATTTATGAAGAAATTCCAACAACAAAAGTGTGGTTGAGAGACAATGGCATGGTACAAGCCATTGGAATTGGCTCCATTGTAGTGGAGATTGTTGTGAAGGACCAAATGAAGAGGATTAGATTGAAAGAAGTCCTACATGTGCCAAAAATGAAGAAGAACCTCCTTTTGGTGAACAAACTTGTATCACATGGTTGTAAGGTTCAATTTGACATGAATAGATGTTTTGTAAAGACATTGGATGGCCAACATGTTGCCAAAGGCCTTAGAGATGGAAATCTCTACTTCATTAATTGCAAAAAGGTGAATGGAGTTGAAGTGGCGATATTTGCTGATTTTCCACAAGATTAAGATAAGTTTGGAATTTGGCATAAATGACTTAGTCATTTATATGCCAAATATATGAAGGAGCTCCAATCCATGGTAAGTGGCTTGGATCTTGGTCAATTCAGCCATAATGCCATGACACTTGCTTGTGAAGGATGTATACAAGGCAAACAATAAAGGACTTTATTTCCAAGTAGAGTTGCAACATGTGCAACAAAATTATTGGAGATTGTGCACTCAGATGTTTGTGGACCAATGAAGACACCATCAATTGGAGGAGCAAGGTACTTTGTTACATTCATTGATGATTTTTCAAGAAAGGTGTGGATTTATATCATTAAAGCTAAGAGTGAATGTTTTTCAAAGTTTAAGGAATTTAAGGCTCTTGTAGAGAAATAATGTGAGTGCAAGATTAAAGTATTAAGAATGGATAATTGAGGTGAATACATGTCAAAGCATTTTGATGACTTCATGAAGATTCAAGGTATTGCAAGACAAACCTCTATTCCTTACACTCCACAACAAAATGGAGTTGCTGAAAGAGCAAATCGTACCATTGTGGAGATGGCAAGGAGTATGCTTCATACACAAAACCTTGGACATAAATATTGGGCGGAAGCTGTGGTAAATGTGGTGTACGTAAGGAATAAGTGTCCTACAAGTGCACTTACATCAATGACTCCATAAGAAGCTTGGAGTGGAAAGAAACCTTATGTTTCACACATGAGGATTTTTGGATGCATTGCTTATGCAAAGGTACCAGATTGTATGAGGTCCAAACTTGATGCAAAAGGTACAAAATGTGTATTTATTGGATATTGTGAAGGTACCAAAGCATATAGGCTAATGTGTTTAGAAACCAAGAAGATCATCAAAACTCATGATGTAGAGTTTTTGGAGCATAAGAGTGCTTTTGAGCACTTAAAAGAGTGTCTAAGTGGGAGTAAAGGTGTGTTTGTGGACACATCTTCAAGTTCAGCAAAGAAAAAAGAAGAAGATGATGATGACAATGAGGATGGAAGAAATAGAAGTCAATATCAAGTGCCAAAGAAGGTAAATCATAGTGTACCTTCAATTGCTAGAACCAACAATGAAGACAATGAAGATATTGAAGGTGATGATGATGATGAAAAATATCAACCTTTAAGTGAAAAAAGACAAGCA